ATTATCATTATTATTATTATTATTATTATTATTATTATTATTATTATTATTATTATTATTATTATTATCATTTTTAGAAAATATTTGTGTACATATATTTTGTTGGGTTCAATTTATTTTATTTTTTTATTTTTTTTTGGGTGTTATCATGGAGGATGAAGGAATTGAAGGAGCCAGAATTAACCTTATTCGACAGGAAGAATGTATCGTCGGAGAACGACGGTGAGGATTCTCTGTCAAAATTGACGGCAGCGATTGCAACCTATATCACGAAGCAAGCGGCGAAGGGAAAGGAGAATGGAAAAAGTTAATGAAAAGTTGTCCTTATTGATGATGTAACTTTGGGGGTTATGATTTTTACGTTCACGCACAGAAAAGAAAAAGAAAAAGTGCTTAGAAGTTTTGTGTGTTTGATGTTGGCATATGATTGTCTGAATATAGAAAAGGATTTGAAGATGCTCAAGTAAGTGACTAATTTGGATTTTTTTTAATGAAAAGTGGACATTTTTTTTAGCTCTGAATATGTAAATATTTGAATTTTAGTGGGAGGTTTTGCAATCATTAATAGTTAGTTTGATTCAGAAGTATAAATATTTTGTGTTTAGATTTGATTTGGGTTAATTGATATGTTCTTCGCTGGTGTGTTCACATTTCTTATATTTTGTGTTTTTTCAATAATGAGATGTTATAAATAATTGTAGTCAACATAATTTTTTTTAAAAAAAATTAAGTAACATACCCGTCCGTGCATGGCACGGAATGCACACTAGTAACAAATAAACTCATGCTGACTTATACGTTTTTTTTTTAAAAAAATTTTTCAAATGATTTTTTTTTTAACTGTAATTATAATTTGTAAATTAGCTCTAAAGTAAATGCGATTGATTTTATAATTAACACAAATTTTATCGTATTTGTTGTCAATAATTGAGTGGTAGTCTAATAACTTATAATTTAAGTAAAGATTTGAAAGGATACATAATGATATAAATAATGTTATAAAATAGAAAAATGCTACTGTCCCGTTACGAAACTATTCTGTCGGGATTTGTAATCGTTAGATCATCATGTAACCATCGTGAATAGTTGATCTAACTGCTACAAATCCTGACAAAATGGTCCTGTAACGTACCATAATAATGTTTCTCCCATTCCAAAGTTTTGCGTGATTTATAGAGAGATGTTACCGCCCTGTTACGGAATCATTTCGCCGGAGTTTGTTAGATCAACTAATCCTGACAGTTACATGATGATCTAACATTTACAAACCCAACAAAATAGTTTCGTAACGAGACTGTAATATCTCCCACAATTATAATATTTATGGAAATATGTGTCCAAACTCCAAACTCTTGACTTTAAAATGCAAATAATCAACTACAATGAAGATAATTTAGAAAAATAATAATAATAATACTAATACTAATAATAATAATAATAATAATAATAATAATAATAATAAAAAAAAAAGGAAAAATGTTTATGTATAAATATGTGAACCAACGTTCAAGTCTTCTCACAAGTCCATGCTTACATATTCATCTCGAGATATCACAAACCTCAATCCACTTGTGATCGATCAAATGAAAATTTCAGTTCCTCAATTCACACACACAAGTTTTGCTAGTTTTTAATTCACGCCTAGTTTCTTTATCTTTAACCTTCTGATGGAGGTCGCAAACAATTCATTTACCAAGCTCCCGGACGACGTCGTTTGCGAAATCCTCAAGAGGCTTCCTGTCAAACCCCTTTCGAAATTCAAGTGCGTCTGCCGATCATGGCTGTCCTTGATCTCCAGCCGACGGTTCATCAAAACCCACCTCATGAATTCGACAAAAGACCCAAATTTCACCTACCACAGGGTTATCCTGCACTCGCGTGGCAGTTTCAGGCACATCTCAGCCCGATCCCTGTTGTCCGAGCCCGTTATTGATTCCCTTGACGTCGATTTCTCGATTCATCGTTCACCGAGAAACCTAATCTGGGTCGTGGGCTCTTGCGATGGTCTGCTCTGTCTCGCCATAGACAAAAAAGACTTGATTTTGTGGAACCCAACCATCGGAGTTTCCAAACAACTCCCCGATTTCGGTGTCGAAATAAGCTGCCGCAGTTATTTTGCATACGGGTTTGGTTATGACAAGTCGAACGACGATTACAAGGTGGTCGGCTTTTTCAATGGTAGTTGGGATTTATCTGAGGTGGTAGCCAAAGTCTACAGCTTGAAGGCCAATAGATGGAAAGCTATCCAGGGTTTTAAAGGTCGTTGGCTGATGGATGATCCGGCCACGTTTGCTGATGGGAAACTTTATTGGATTGCGAATTCTGATCTTGAGATGGAATGTGGATGGAACATTGTTTTTCTTGATTTGTCGACTGAGGAGTATGGAGTTCTGGAGATGCCGAGTTATGTGAAAAGTGGGTTTTATTCGAGGCTGGGGGTATCTGAAGGGCGGCTTTTCGTGATGTGCAGCCACACGAACCGGGCAGACGTTTGGATTATGGATGATTATGTGAATGGAAATGGGGGGTGGGCGAATGTGGTTACAATCCCTTATGTTGATGATTTCTTGACGTATCACTATAAAAAGGTGTTGTTCGTGCTCGAGAATGGGGAAGTCATGCTTATTTGTGGTTCGAAGCTCGTGGTTTTCGATGCCAAGGACTGCTCTTTCAGGTACCCAGAGATGAGAAATTTGAGCGTGCTTTTTGCGGCCAGCAATTATTTCGAAAGTTTAGTTTCTCCATTAGGCAATGGTGAATAATATGCTAGTTATAATCTCTAAACTCTAAAGATGTGTTACCTAGTTATGTTGGTATTTATTTGTCAACTATGATGTGTAATGTGTTTCTTATTAATGGTGAAGTTCTGTTTGCATTGTGTGTATAATATATCATGAGATTTGTTTGCATTGTGTGTATAATACTAGGGAAAACAGCCGTGCGCAGAACGGCCAGGTCCACGACGTGTTTTGAGATTCATGTTATGAGGTTATTTCTTTATAATGATGTATATTTTCTAATTTGTATTTTGTTACCCCTTTTTCTATTGTTAAATGAAACACACTATTTATAGAATGGTTATATCAAAATAATATCCCGTTTGAAGAGCATATAAGATTTTTTATATTTACAATTGAATATTTAATATCTTGAATTTAAAACCAAAGGAATGAACGAATAACAGAAGAACAAAATACTAATATTATTTTTGTCAACTCAACAAATAGGATTGAAAGCAAGATAATAACATGGTCTAAGCTTGGTAGAATACTGTGACACAAGCTCTTAAAAGAAACATAAACGCACAAAATATAATAATATGGATATCACTTTAATTTAAAAACTTAATAAAAGATGCTTAAAAGGTAGAGGATGACTATTAAGGTTGGTTGTTTAAGATTACTTTAGTTGGATAGTCGGACGATATAAACATGAAAGAATAGAAGATGAGCGTCAACAGTATAACAATCTAAAGATGAGCGTCAACAATATAACAATCTAAACATCAAATGTAAACGTTATCTAAAGATGAGCGTCAACAATATAACAATCTAAACATCAAATGTAAACGTTATCTAAAGATGAGCGTCAACAATATAACAATCTAAACATCAAATGTAAACGTTACTCTGTAAACTTGGGTACATGCATACACAACCAAAGTATCTTCATTTCCTAATCCTAAAATTCTTCTCTTTCAAAGTGTTTTTCTAGCAAATTCTGATCCGTGTTCATTTCATAGAATATGCATTTCTTTCTTGATATGCTCGAGTCGCCAATTCGAGGCTAGGCGATTAATGTTAGTGGGTTCTTGGATTTTCAAACTGGATGAGAGCCAAGAATTGAAAAAGGGGGAAAATATGAACTTTGAAGTTAAAAACACATGAAGGAAAATCTACAAAATGTTTTCTATTAGAATATTCACTTGTGACTTGTCCCACATCGTTTATACAGAGAAAATAGACTTAATTTATAAGTGTAACGGGATACTCCTCTTACTATTAATTGGTTTGGGATGGAACCTCACTTCAGTTTCTTCTGACTTTCCCTGCTTATGGTGCGCTTCACGTGCGTGAGACTGCAACAGTTTTTCTCAGTTTCTTATTCTTATATGGTATCAAAGCCGGTTCTATTGGGACCGTGCGATGACGTACGCGTTTACCCAGCCCGTTTCTAGTAGGGCTGGATAAACAAGTGATGGGGCGTATTTATATTCAATTGTGAGTTATCCCACATCGTTTATATAGGGAAAATATACCTAATTTATAAGTTTAATGGATCACTCCTCCTACGACCAATTGATTTTGGGATGGAACCTCACTTGGACTTCATCTGGACTTTCCCTGCTTATAGTGTGCTTTACGTGCGTGGGACAACACCAGTTTTTCTCCACATTCTTACATACAACCTTAGTAAATAGTGAAGGGCGAGAGATATATAGAGCTTGAGCATATGAAAATCTTAAAATAGTATATTTATGTGGCCAACTTTAATAGATTGAAGCCAATATAATGTAGATTATGTTTTTTTTTTTCTTTGTCATATATATATATATATATATAGTGAATACCAATGACTAAAATATAGTTGTCAATCTCAAAGAGATACCAAGACAACTAAATCATACAATTAATTAATAAAAGTAAAATAATAAATAAAAAATTTGCAAGCCCTTCCGACGAAAATCTATACTTATATAAAGAGTCATCCTATTTACTAAAATTAATAGCAAAAAAATAGGTCAGCATTTAATGCAACCATAAATAGTAGTTTATTATTTTTCTTATTTTTATTTAAAAATCATACAATATAATGTATAAATACGCTTTAATATAATCATAAAATTTAATCATACAATTTATTTTTTTTCTTTAAAATTACGCTTATGTATATATTTTGTAATAAAATTGAATAAACTGTGTTAGTTAAATATCTAAATAATTTAAAAATTCAAATATTTAAATTAATTGATAAATAATTTATAAATTTCTATTTTTCTAACGTATGTAATTTTATTTAAAATGATTTTAAATATACCAAAATTTATTTAAAAAATCGTATCGATCCTACCGTTCAACCGACTGGTGTTGACGGATTCAATAGCAAATATTTTATTCAACTGAACTAGACTGATTATAAACTGGTTCTCGGTCCATCCAGTCGCTGTGTCCAACGCGGTTTAATTTAAAAACGATAGGTAAATCTTGATTAGTTTATTTGTATATTTAATTTAAAACGCAATCGTAATATTATTTTTCCGTGCATCGCACGGGCCACGCACTAGTTATATAAGAAAAACAATAGCCACATTCAAACTATGATTTTACCTTGCTTTATACTTCAACCCAAATGCTAAAAGATAATTACAGAAAATTTTATTTATGTAATCACCAAAATGTTGTACCTAAACAAAAAGAAAAGAAATTTCATTTGCGTTGTGTTTATTAACACACTCTTTCCCATAATCTGCACTTTTTTAGTAATTAAAATTTAATTAATTATATTTATAAGAAATCGACTTTCATTAAATTTTTAGAGAGGTACAAATTACTTGGAACACCTATTTATAAGTTGTTTGCAAAAGTAAATAGATAATTATAGCAATGTTCATCAATGCCACAGAGATGGTAAAATGTAGTTATAGACTAACTCAAGTGTCAAGACTTTTCTTTATTAATTAGATATAAATTTGAAGCTTTAGTGATATATTGATATAATGGAGAGACTTCAGCAAAATGCATCTATATATATATAATTGCTAGCTAATCATTTAATAAAACCTAATAAATAAAACC